GTCCATATATTCATCTGAATCACAACTACATACCATGACACTACCATCGATAGTCAAGGGATTAGCAAAAGTTACCCAGTTCCTAGGAGCATGTTTGACCTATCATACGATAATACCTGATATCCCTTAGAATTAAAACAGCTGAACTAAACACCGTCAATTTAGCATTAGCGTTAGTGCATACATCGAGCAGAAATGCCTTGATTCCAGTGAGAGGGTAGTCACGCGCCAAAACCAGATCACTAATAAAAACCTCTTCTTGGGAACGACAAATCAAACCAATTGTAGACAGAGCAATAAAGTGCGTTTTAAATTTCAAAGCTCTACTTAGCAGTCAAAGAATAAAAGTAAGTTCAAAGGGGGCCTACAGAAATCTTCGATGCTCAAGAAGAGCCTTTCCTCTCTAAATCATATTCGATTGATCAAGCAAAACCAATTTACCTCGAAAAGAAATTTAATATATTCAGGACTGTTGACTTCATTGGACTTTCGGAACTCCGTCTTAACTCGGCTAAGAAGATACCTCTGGTCGGTGTACTCAAGAGTCCGAATGTATTTTACTAAGGAGCGGAATAGTGCCAGAGACTCCAAACGAGACGGCATACCTAAAGACATTACTTGATAACGTCTTGTTTAACGAAAAATGCTAGAAGCCATGTAGTGTGTTGGTAAGCTTTATTTATTCGAATCGGGGCAAAACAAGGGATCATAATATCGGTACACTGAAAGCTGTTCGTTTCCACACTGCCGCTGAATTATACGTACAGAAGCTGAGAGACGACCGCCAGATGCATCCCGAATGAACTTTGACACCAATTCAGGCTCGTTCTGTTTGAGCAAAAGGATATAAAGTGCCCCAGATTTTGTCAAGACAGGTGACAGCTGTTGAATAAATCTCTCTATAACCTAAATGGCAGGTTTAAAAAGCGTTAAGTTCTTCTAGTAATGCATCATCGAAAAAATGAAATATAAGGATTGTAAAGGGCCCCGGTTAAGGAATCAGAAAATCCGCACCTGTCTGCCATTGACTCCACCCGCCCATGCAGATGATATGGTTGACTTAGCATCCATCAATTCATCTTCTCCTGTAGGCACGTATGGCGGATTAAAAAGCACTATGTCAGCTATTCCTTGAGGAGAGGATCGAATGGATGTAAGAAGATCACAACAAACAGCATCCATGAGGTAACGAGAGGTATTTACACAAAACACTTGTTTTGATGCAGCACAGGCCTAAA